ATACAATTTCTCTACTGAAGTGTGCTCAAATTACTGTAATTACCATTCCTGTTATTCTAAAGAACTTCGAGGAATAATAATTAGAAGTAAAAAATTGTTGAGATTTGCAAGCTATTATTTAGGTAGTAATCGCGAATTTTTCTTTGGCAACGCACAAAATGAAAGATCGATATATTTCTTTCGATATGCGTGTGTGTAGGTATTGATAATTTATAAGACGAAAGTGTTAAAAATAAATGTTTTCACATTTTTTTTGTACAAAGTGCAAAACTATTATTTAAAGATATTGTCGTCATTAACAATCCCTCAGCATGCATTGAAAATTTTTTGAATGGACTAAAATTCTGATCAACAATTAAATTTTGATGTTAATTTGGTAAAAATACTTAAATTTCCACTAAATTATTGAGCTAGTATATAAACTTATTTTTAAAAATATACTGTTTATTGAGTTATTTACATGCGCTGGCTGTTTGATAGAGCAACATAATATATTCAAATCATATCCTGATAAATGACAGAAGGTATCCAAATTAATCAAAATGTTTCAGGAAGAAAATAGAAGAGGAAATTTAATTTTTTGCAGCAAATATTCAGTTTTCCAAAACTAAATACTATCATTTTAGAAATTTACTTTCAAAGATGTTTACTAAAATAGTGTTTTCTTAACATTTATTTCTTAGTAATACTTTACAAAATTGTACAAATTAAAATTTCTCTAAAATTGGAAGAGAAACTGGCAAATGCAAAGTTCAAAATTAGGCAAAACGCAGCCTTAGGATGACGAATATTTTGAATAAAATAGCATCGATTTTGACCGGAGCAGACGTTTTCATTTTTTATGAGTGAGAAATGTTTGCAGAGTAGGAGGAGTGAAATTTGTTTTATATGGAAAGCAATGGAAGAAGCAAAGTGACAAGGAACGTAGAATTGAACGTATCTGTTGAAACGGCTAGCACTGAATTTGAGAAAAAGATATTAGAATTTTGAAAGGATTAGGAAAAATCGCGTTAAAATATCATTAACATAAAATTGAAGTTTTTCAAAATGGAAAGCTTCTAGGAGACCAATTCCCTCCCCAACTCAAAGAGGTTAATTGATGATTGTCGCAAATTTCAAGACAAAATTATGATTAAGTGTACAAATATGATCAAAAATTTGCTTAGTCGTCCCTTCTGAACATGCGAGTTGTATGCCTTGACGCGAAATTTTAATGTTCTTTTAGAATGGCCAACATACGTCAGATCAGATTGACAAGATATGCTGTATATTTCCCAAGAATGAAAATTTGAAAATAAATGCTCATGAATCAAATAATGATTTTTTCCGGCAAGAATTAAAGTGACCTGGAAGTTGAAATCGTCGAAGATTCGACCAATTTTGTTACTAATAGATAATGAAAGGAAAAGAAAATGATATAACAAATATGTTATCATATCATAATCATCTTATCTTCTAGGCAATAAACTGTCAAATTTGCACGTGGCAACGGTTTATTACACACTAAATATTTTCGATTTTCTTCTCAAAGAATGTCCACTTTTCGTTATCTTAATATTATGTACTCACAGGGGTTTACATAGTAATAAGCTTATTACAACTTCCAGGTGTAAACAGATATTAGCGTATGCATCAAAATATACAGCCTGCCTCATCTGAGATGCAGTATATTAGGTTAATCAGCATAATGACTTGTAATCAAATCTGGATTTAGTATCTTCTTCAGCAAACACAAAAAGGTGTACATATGTGAGATGTGTTCCATCTCTGCCAACAGATAACGTAAGAGTCAATGCTTCGCATCCTACGACCACATCCGTCAAAGACAGTATGTCACCTCCTGTGCAGTGTGAAGCAAAGCATCGGTAGCGGAAAGACTTAGGGAGGAGGCAAGATGCTCTTTTAGAAATGTGTGTCTAGATACCCTCAGTAGCCCTGTAGGTAACATTAAAACGTAGTGATACTCTATACGCTTCGAAAAGATGGTATAGAGAATGTGACTATAATCGTGTGCGGGCGAGAAATCGCCCATTTGGCGACAAAATTGGCGATATGCCATGAACGGATGGAGAACCTTCTGGAACGAATTCTTACGGTTTAAGCCAGAATATTCTGTAACACAAGCCCAAAACTATATAAACCCTGCTGGTGCGTAGAGAGTCAGTGTGTGCGAGTTAGTCAGTTAGTAGCGGAGTCGATCTCGTGGACAGCCGGGTAGCGAGTGCCGAGTGGGTCGTCGAGTGCAACGAAGGAGATTCTTACTGTATCGCGGTTAGTGCATCGACGAGAGAGTGCGTTAATCTCCGGAAAAGACTGAACCGAAGAGTCGGGAGCCGTGCTCTGCGTATCGTCGAGTGCATAGCGAGTTGTAGCGTGGAGAGTCTCGAAAGTACGTGGAGTTCCGAGAACGACCCAGCAGAGTCTGGTGCTTGGCAGCGAAGCTGTCTCGACCGTTATAGCCTGATAACCTGACGACTGTGTCGCTGATTGTTCCAGCGAATATATAGTAGAGCTTGGACGACTGTAAAACGCGACTTTGGAGCTGTCCTGATTAATATTGGCTAAATAAAATGTGTTTAGATACTTCATCAAGAAGTGTGGTCATTATTCACTCCAAATCCACACGAACGTGAAGGACTAAAATAACGTAACAACTGGTGTCAGAAAAAAACGCAACAATATATACATATATATATGCAACATTTCTAGAACGGTGCATACATATGACTAAATAACGTTGATGAGGTAACTAATGCGAACCTAAATCGAAACTCTGAAGTAAGTAATTCGGAACAAAATTTCGAGAACTGAGAACTTTATCTTGGTCAGCTAACATGTTGGATAACTACGCGCTTTAGCTTCTACTTCACCTGTCTTTAAGACCTTACTTTGCTTGCTGACGTGACGCTTAGCCTCTGCTAATTATTGTCCAGTGTTCTAAAAATATAATTTGTGTAAAACTCACTCACAATGATGATATCAAATGATAAATAGTATGTGTGCTAAGAATTATCAAGGAATAATTATCAATGAATAACATTATACGTAGAATTTATGGCTACGTCTGTCTTCGAAGGTCATCTTTATAACAACATAGTAAAATCTGTCCAAGTTATTGCAACGGAGAGCCATATCCAGTTCTTCGCAGCATTCTTCGAGCTATCCTATTAAATGTACATATACATGTGTAAATGAAAAAAATACAATTAAAAGAAATGATAAACCTAATCCAGCTATGTACTAGAATGAATGTGCAACATTACACATTCAACCTGGATCAAGTAATTATTAAAAATAAAAATTGTTTGCATAAGCATTGTGGAAAAATAAATTAAAACAACATTGCGATAATTAGTGAAAAATGGGTAAATAGTGCTGTAGAGACATTAGGTATTTTTTTGGCAGCAAGCAAGATGAAAATAAGCAAACGCCTAAAATCGAACCACGGACCTCTGGAATAACGGCCCAGCGAGCAGAATCACTACACCACGAAGGCACACCAAGAAGGTGGGAGACATACCTTATATACTCCCCCTTTTAAAGGGCGACTGGGGTTTTTAGGAGACAAAATCGCCAAACCCTGGGCGTGGAGAGTCATCATCCACAACCCTTTTAGTTCTGGCACCACTCTAGAGACATTAGGTAATTTTTTGGAAGCAGGCAAGATAAAAAATAAGTAATCGCCTTCGCCGGGAATCGAACCACGGACCTCTGGAATACCCGCCCAGCGTGCAGAACCACTACACCACGAAAGCACGCCAAGAAGGTGGGAGACATACCTTATAGTGCAAATAATAAAAGCAAAAAAAGTGCAGGCCAAAAACGTAGTTAAAATAAATAATCCAAATGTAAAGAATTTACATCACTCGGAATGTCATTGTTAATGCAAGGGTGTAAGGATTTATTTTTCCAGTTAATATTATATGCATATTTAATAATCGACACAATAGTTCTTACTCAATTTAACTAGATTATTTTAGTTAAATTGAGTAAGCTCGTTTATTATGCTCGTTTCTGTGTTTAATGTTTCATGTGTTAGGAGGTTATTTGTCGTTGCTTTTTTCTTTTACTTGGTTATTTCGATGACATGAGTTGGTTGCTGTTTTTTACAATATTGGGTTTCGGGGGACTCATGGATGAGTGGATACTTATGAACGTCTTATTCCAGCTTATAGAGGCACAAACCGATTTGACGCAAAACAGTTTGTAGTTTATGGAAGACTGAATTTAATTTTAAAATTTTTGTTACTCTCAGTTCTCAGGCTGTTTCATTTACTTTTCTCTTTAAATCAACCTTCGGACGACGGTGTGCCGAGAGATGTATACGCTTTAATTTTAAATTTTCACTACTGTTTTTGATTTGCGCTATTGTTGCTTTCATTATTTACATTATTTGCGCATTTATTCACCATTGATATCATTTTTATTTTCGGATTGCTTTTTTTGCTTGTGCACAAAATTCTTAAATTCTTTTTTTTTTTTTTTTTTTTTTTTTTTTTTTTTACAATTGCTTGATCGAGGTTGAACATGTAATAGATTTAAATGATTTGTTTTTTTTTTTTACTTTCTCTCTCTCTCTCTCTCTCTCTCTATATATATATATATATACTCGTAACTTGCACATTTCGCATGCAGTCAAAACTGGAATTAAATTTTAAGATCTCGATATTCAGTAGAAATTATTTAAAGTAATTTAATACACCAAATGTTAAGAATGTAAGAAAGAATACACTGGAGATTAAGAATAATCTTTCATTACTTAAATGAACTTATGCATTTTATTCGTTAATTATACTCCATTTTATCATTAACAAATTCTGAACACTTATGCAGTCTAAACATTTGATAATTAATTTTTATTTATTTTAACATGATGATCAGAGTCATTAAGACGTCGAATACCAGAAACATTTTATTAATATACCGCCCTGTTTCACTGATCATAATACCCTAATCCTCTTATGTTTAAAAAATTAAAATTTAAAAAATACTGTACTCACCTGCTACAGGATTAGAATTTTCTTCGTTAAGTTCCCAGGCTAAATGAATTGAAGAGGCAGTAGCTGTGATTAAGCGGAGAACTGGAGCATTCGGAGGATCTGCAAATAATTACAATAATTTAATTTTTAATAGAGGGAATAAAGATTAGTCTTGTATGTATGACTGCACCAGGAATTGGATGCATATTTTAGTAAGTTAATGATTATTTATTTGTGACTTATACTAGCATAATAATAATTAACAGAGTCAACCATAGTTATTTTTACAGCATTAAATTACGCAAAATTTAAATATTACAGAAAAACCAAAATAAATTTGTGGAGTGCAAAAATTAACCTAAATATTATGTTGTAAAGGCGATCAATTACCCACACTCGTAATTAAATAATAATATTTGTAATTATGCATTTGCAGAAACACCTGATCTGAATCGTTAATCGTGTGACTGAACCAGCAATATGAATTTTAAATTTTGTAGAGTCACTAAGGTGTTTTGAAGCAGGAGGGGAGAAAAATGTGCAATACTCTCGCTGGGACTCGAAAACTGGACTTCTCGAATACACTTGCAATTACATCACGAAGGCCTGCAGAAAAGAGGGAGAAAATCATTTTATGCTTCCCCTTTTAAAGGGCGACGGGGAATGAAGAGGCCAAATCATCCAATTCTGGTGGTGACGAATTATCGTCCACCACCTTATAGTTCCGGCGCCAGTCATTATAGTTTTTGAAGCAGGAGACGAGAAAAATGTGCAGTGCTCTCTCCGGGGCTCGAACCCTGGACTTCTCGGATACGTGTCGATTACACTTCCAGTTACACCACGAATAGGGCCCACAAGCGGCCAAGCGGTAAAGTCGCTGAACACTGGTAGTTCGGTCCGAGGTTCGAATCATGAGAACGGGCTGGCTGCATGGGCGTTTTCGTGGTTTTCTCCATGTGTAACATGTATACGAGCCAGTTTCCGTTAGAAAGTCCTCCAAGAAGGCATCCCTCCCCTTAGGCAGATAGCCCTAGTGTGCTTTGCCATAATTAAATACACCACGTATATAAGCGGAAAAGTGGGAGAAAATACCTTATAACTTCTCTAATCCTCTATATTAACAATTTTCATTTACGATGTTAATTAATTTAAAGTACTTCAAAACTGAGTTTTAACAAAAACATTACGATGAAATTCGTATCACATGATAACAGATAAGTTTCAATAAGCAACATCAAAGAAAATTAAAATTAAAAAAAGCATGTTTATTAATTATTAATTACAAGAAAAGAAATAACGTAAAACTTGATATGAGTGGCATACTTAAATAAAAAAAATACTATGAAAGAAGAACAATGGAAATAAGGAATGCTAAAGAAACGCTTTCACAAATTAAGAACATATTCACAGAAGTTCTATTTTAAAATCAAGATAGTGAATTATTTATTGAAACGAAAATAAGTAGATAATTATAACAGCGACAGAATAAAAAGTGACAAAGAAGATTTTTTTTTTTCGTTGCCACTTGAATATTGGAAAAGATTGAAAAAAAATTTTATCTAGTTTAGAAATCTTTGTTTCCTCATAAGAAAAGATGAAGCATTTCTAGTTACGTTTGTAGAGACATTAGGTTATTTTTTGGAAGCAGAAATGATAAAAAATTAGCAACGCCTTCGCCGGGAATCTAACCACGGAACTCTGGAATACCGGCTCAACATGCAGAACCAGTACACCACGAAGGCACGCTAGGAAGGCGAGAGAAATACCTTATACGTTTTTCCTGCTTCGTAGATTTCTTCTTAGTTTTGAAAGTATAATACAGAAATTTTACTCAAATTACAGGGACATGCTGCATTACTTTAAAAAGTACTGTTACTCTGTTTACTAATTTTAGTTTCTTTATTTCTGTTTACAAATTTAGGATATTCATATAATACACTACAGTTATGTTTCCTTACTAAAATTATATTTGTATAAATAATCATGACACTGCTTTATATAATTATGCTGTGCACTCATAAACTAAATCAAAATTTGCAGTAAAAATCATAAATGAAAAATTTTGTTTTTAATCAAACAAGCAAACTCAATTGAGTATGAATTCTATTATCAGATTTGGATATTAGTACCAAGTGAATGCGAATGTAAATTGAAAACCAAGAAGATACATGTATTAATGTATGTTTTGCACTGTCATTTAAATGAAAAATACGTTTCATTCTGAGGCTGTAAAAGTTAAAATGAATTATAATTTTCTAAAAATTTATGTAAGTTAAATAAATAAAGAAGAATGTGAATAAGAATTTTATACTTTAGAATGTTTACGTTTGTCCTCCATAAATTGTTCATTTTATGGAAAATTATTCCGATGAAGGCATAGCTGTTTGTAAATGTATAGTGTCTGTGCGGCATGGAGGCACTTTAAATATCTGGCGAACTTTAAGTCTTCTTCAGAGATTGGTTGTAGTGGAAGAAGGGTAGCCGGCCATCGAGCCTGTCTCTCAGGGGTGCTCTCATTCAAAATTGGGGGGGGGGGCGAAACTGAGCAAAGTCGTACTGTCACCTATTTAGTGCGCAAGGCTCCTGCCAATGACAAGCGCATTCTTGACTTCTTGCCACGATTTTGAGGGCTTGCCTGTAATTTCAGACCAGACAGATTAATAACAACAACAACAATAAAATAAATTATTTCCATTTTCTTTAGGTATAATTTCCCCCATTCAACTTATTATGCAATGAAATTTTAAAAGGGCTTTAGAAAAGGTTTTGTTTAACGCATTATTATAGTTCAACCGTCTCAAACGCAACCCTGTCTGGCATTCTGCCAAAACACTTAGACTCGTCCAAAAGGGGCGTTATTATTTGCTGTGACGTTGAAAGGTCACGTAAAAGTCTTCCGTTCTCCGGAAAGAGATATGCTGGAGGGAAAGAAAGTCCCCATCCTTCCGCCCTATTTTGAGAATAATTCGGTCCGAATGGCGCATGCGTGTTTGCGCTCATGGTCGCGGATGAGGAAGTCGAACTATACTTAGCCTTCTGGCTTTAAGTCGTTCTTCTAAAGAATGATAATACTGGCGGCTTCCATTTATAATACCTGGCATGATTTTGTGTACTATAATCTAGAGCTTTTAGATGCACTGTGTTTTTCTGGAATTTCAGTCAAAATAGCTCGTTGCATTAATTACGAATATCGCTGTTATTCCATCGATTTTGCTCTTATCTTCCCTTTTTGTTTAGAACCTAGTCTCTTGACAACTGATTTCGCTTTGGATCTTGAGCCTACTTAGCGATAATCATCTGAATGCATATGAGAAAATGATCTGTGCTTAAAAGTGTTTAGGCTTAGAAAGTGTTCAGACCCTTTGCGATAACTTTGCAGGATACGTATATTTAATCTTAATCTCATCTACAAAGGCTGAGATCACGGTTTGAATTAAAGTAAGGTTTAATGTGGTTATCTTAAATCAGTTTTGAAATAGTCGTGTGAACAAAATATAACAGTCTGAATGAAAATATAATAAAACGAAACAAAGCTTACTTAAGCAACAATCTCAATTGACGTAAAAGGAAATTAAGGGTATGTAGTAATGACGATAGGAATTACGATCACATACGGGGTGGGGTCGGAGCTGGCTTGAAGCGCTTATTTTGAGGTGGCAGCTTATAGTGAATCGGACAATTATCCTATTTGCATAGACAATCCCCATGCGTTTTATTTAGCTGTAGAATCGACAAGAATTCCGATGTGAAGTATTAAAAAAAAAACATTTTTTGCAAATATTAGAGATCTGCTATTTCAGTAAAGATGGACACGTTGAGTGTTTGAAAATTATGCGAAAAGAATTTCATACTGATTTTACATTTATTTCAATTTTAAAATTCGGGTATCGTAATTTTATTTATTAGGATGTAATTTTATTTATTAGGAATTTAAATATTATTGGAGTATAATATTGTTTTTGCAAAGATTTACTATAAACATATAATTTTGTATTTGTAACATACCACTTAAAAATTTTAAATTTTCTTTTTTCGAAAATGTTTTCTTTCATAAAATTTCCTGTAATCGGTATGCATGCATATAATGAATATTATATTCTGTATTATAATCATGAAATGAAAACTTTATATTTTTATTGATATTTTAATGTAATTTAAATTGTTTCCACCAAAGCGCATTAGCCAGTTTTTTAAAAAGGGATTGAAGCAAGTTCATTTTAAAGCAGAAAATTATAATTAAATACATACATCTTAAAATGAATAGATAACAAATAACACACTTTACAATACTCAAGTAATTCAACAATATTTGTAATAAATAAGAATATTTAAACCTTGAATTTTTTTTTTTGGTGTTAGAGACAAACCTATTATTTAACTAAGGAATTTTAGAATATATCCCAAGGTTTATGTTCAAATCAATTTTATCTATCTTATCGAGATTTAAAACTGTTTTTCTTTTAACATTTTAAGATACCCTTGTCCTTCAAATTATTAAACAGGCAAAAATAGCCATCTATATCTATTTTGTACCTTTGTACTTTCTTTCTTGACTAGCAAAATTTTCTACAAAACATGCTTCCAAAGTACGAAATAAAATTCTGAAATCCACTGCCTGAAGCAGAAGTTCTCACAGATGAATTGTTTACAATTTAACATTTGTATCAAACAAAGTCATCTTCTGAAGTTAAGAAATTCGTGGTATCAGACAAAAAATAAGCATTATTATTGAAGGTTCAACTATAATGAGCAATGACAGTTTGTCATGAACTGCCAAGAGAGCAACAAATAATTTTTAACTTTATTGCAAGTAGTTGAAATAAGCTCCTTATATGTGAGGGTGAACATAATCATCTAATTCAGAATGTTTTCTTACGTCAGAGTAGGACGATATGCTACTGACTGTATTGAAATTCAACAAACTATAATCGTAAAATTATAGGTAAGATACCTACATTAATTTAATTTATAATCATATATTACTGTATTTACTAAATTATTAAACTGAATCTCGCATATAATTAGTAAATGCAACAACCTTCTTTTGGCTCACATTGTAACCAACACTCTATCGATATGGAGGGCGAAAAGGTGCGTAACCATCATCTTCAAGGAACATG